TACTTTTATTAAACAGCCTTACATTTAGAACTGACTTTTTTATTGTATTTTATGATCTTAAAGTTCTGTATGTCTCTGTTGCACCTGCTTCGGTTTGGGTTTTACCAGCTTCATGGTGGTAAAGGTGAGTTATTTACTGTTCCTCTATAGGCCTTTAGATCATGTATAACAGCTGCGCTTGTATGTTTCTACATTATATTACAGCGTACCTGACCACTGCCCTTTTGGTCTGCCTTAACTTTATTAATGGTTCTGAGGAGCTTCTCATGAGAGAACTGGTCTTCTCCATACACTGCCGACATGATGTCGATCTTCTCCAGCAGGCTGGTCACCTGAGAGCGATCTCCTTCAACTGTGTTGTTGAAGAGGTGAAACCTGCCCCCACACTGCCTGACCAGCTCCCTCAGTTCAGGGTCAGTGTTCAGGAGAAACTGCTGAATGGTCTGATTTCTCAGCTTGTCCCCGTGGGAGAACAGAACCATGATGAATGATCCTGAGCCAAGTTTCTCCTTTATCTGTCTGACCATCTCCTTCTCTCCATCAGAAAATTGGCCCAGCTGGAGCACCAGGAGGAAGACGTGAGCTCCTGGGGCAGACAGATCCAGACAGCGCTGGATCTGAGCCCAGGGGTCAGGACAGGCTTGGTCGAAGAAGTCTGGAGTGTCGATCACAGCCACTGGTCTCCCGTCGATCTGCGTCTCTGCTCTCTGACACTCAGTGGTCACAGCCCAGGAGGAGAGGAAGGTTTTAAACGCCTCTCTTCCCAGGATGGTGTTTGCTGCTGAGCTCTTCCCTGAGCCTCTCTTGCCCAGCAGCACCAGCGTCAGAGCTGCAGTTTGCCCATGGGCTGGACCTGCTGTGGGACAAGGACATGACAGTTCACTGTGCTGCAGGACTTCCACAGGAAGGTACAGGCAAGGACTTCCAATGGAAGAGACAACTCCAGCAGTGACGAATCTTACAGTCACACCTGCACCTCTCCAGAGACACGCTGGCTCATGCATTTTTCATCTGAGTCTTCTCTACATGTCCTGTTGTGCCATCTAGTGCTCACAACACGAACTGCAGTTCAAAACAAGTATCCCCATTCCCTGTAACACTCAACATGACCTTCCTGTTTCCTAAAGAGACGTGTTTCTCTCAGAAAATACTGCACTAGTCCAAATGTCTATAATCCAAATCATTTCAGGAAGTCACACTACCTTCAGTCTTACAAACCGAGAGGCATTATAAAGACAAGTGACCCTAGAGTTAGGGTTAGGGAGTCAGTAGTCAGCACTGCTGCCTGGCAGCACTGGGGCCCTGGGTTCAATTCCTGGGGTGCTGTCTGTGTGGAG